TTAGAAGACCATTCACCCTCAGACACTCAGTAGACACATACTGACACACTGGACAGAAATATTGTGTGAGATTTTTCAGCTGAGACTAGTTTAAACATTCACCAAAGTTTGTATTTTTTTTTATTGGATTGGTTAAAACACACTTATGTGTTGCTTTCAATATAACAGAATGACAATGACTGAAATAATACATGTGCATACATAATGATGTACTGCATGTATATAAGAATGCAAAAATTCACTGTCCAATATTGTTGTTATAACAAATCCACAATACGATATTTGTCACAATATTAAAGAAATTAAGAAAAAAGATTTTAAAAAATGCCATTTACTAAATAATAAATGAGCATTTTTTGTATAATGTATATAAAAGACAATGCAACAGTCAGTAGCAGTCCTTTTAGGTAAAAAAAAAACTAAATCATACTTTCAGTGGAACATCAGTGTTTTAATGTCCCCTTAGCAGGAGTAGATTTCTCCGTTTGGTGGCCATGCCCACCAGTGGTCGGGTTCTCAATAGGCTACTAGATCTGTTGCAAGATGCCAAACTAGACCAAGTCACATGAAAAAAATGCTATTTGTGCTTTACTGGGGGTGTTTTTCAAACATCATGGTCTACTTTTTCATTAGAAAAGACTTTAAAGGTGGTTACTAGGTGGTTAGCTTTGCGTATGTGCATCTGATTTGTTGGCCATCTCTATTAAAATGTTGTGCAGTTGTGTCTCAACTGTTTCTACAGGACACATCCAAGACACTCTCAGTCCAAAATGTTGATACCGTCATAGTGCACGACATTATCAAGACATTTTTCTATCGCAATACTGCAAAACTATAAATACTGTTAATTCCCTAGTTGTGTATAAAAATCGTTTCATCCAAGATGAACGTACTGCAACATTTTTACATTTATACAGACCTACTGAAAGAACAACACATACCTAGAATGATTCTCTCCCAGCGTAACGGCGATCCGGCAGATACCATGGCAGGTCTCCATGTCTCCATTCTGAACAGCCTCTCTGAGCTGCTCCTGGAGCGCCAGCACTTGAGGAACCAGTTTCAGCAAAGTGTTCACATATCTACAATCAATGAACACACAAACACCGGAACTGACCGTTAAGAGTCTCGTTCATCAAAAAAAAAAAAGTTATTTAAATTTGTTTTTAAAGTAAGAACCAGACACAGTGCTGTTGAAATGAGAAGGACATTGCACAGCCAGTGAGCCTCCACTGGTGACCAGAAAACTGACTCACACTGCTCACAGCTAGGGTGATGCATTTATTGCTCATTGTCAAGACAAGTGTTTAGTTCAAATCACATTCCAAGTCAGTCCAACCTCTGATGCTGCACACCCACCCCTGAAAATCCACACATCTACCAGGGAACCAGAAAATCTATTCAAAGCTCAGTTATTATTCTGTCTTCTTCCTGCTGTCTCAGCCATCCCTCACTCTGGCTAAAACACACGCATGAGCCCACACACACACACACACACACACACACACACACATAAACACAACTCACACAGACACGAGGACACCCACATCTGATAACATCCTCCTGTTATCCTTAATGACAACGAGTGATGGGGTGACATTTGTAGATGTAGGGTACGTGTGTGCCTGAATGTCAATGGGGACATCATGTGCATGTGTGAAACCTATAAATGGGGTTGTGGTATATTGGCAAGGCTTCATCTTTTGTCAGAACATCAATGCTTAGCCAGGCCAATGAATATTCATCAATGACACACCAGTGTAATACACAAAGGAAACTGAGAAACAGTAACTCGTAGTGTTTCTCTGGGGATCTAATCTATGGCTGTGACTAATACTTAACTGATCTGTCATTGCTTTTTCAACTAATCAAGTGATCGTTTAATCACTTAAAATGTCAGCAAATTGTGTAAAACATCCATCTCAAGTATTCAGAAACTAAAGTGATGTCTTCAAATTGCAAATTTCTACTGACCAACTATCTGAAACTCAGAGTTTTAATTTGCAACAATGAAAGAAGCAGCAAATAATAACACTGGAAAAGCTGGAAATAGAGAATGTTTAGCATTTCTGCCTAGAAAATGACAAACAATTAGCCAAATAGTCAAAATCACTGATTATTTTTCTGTCCTTTGTTTAATCAACTAATTGTTTCAGGAATAATGTAATCCCTTATAGTACAGTACTATCCAAAGAAAAGAAGAAATGATACTAATATGCACCAACTGCTCTCCGGGTTAAATGCACGTCTTCCTATGGTCCTGGGAAGCATTCGTAAATTCCCTCAGGCCCTGGAGTGAGCATAAGAGTGGGATCTATGGTTCTGAGTTATGAAGCCAAGTCCCCTACTCAGCAGCCGACGCTGATTCAGGCTTCTCTGGAGAGAGCTCCACCCTGCTAAGATGTGATGTGTATGAATCTGGCCTCCATCTACTAAGTACGTACCAGTGTGTTTAATGGCCTACATCCTCTGTGTTGGATGTCTGAGTAATTCTGTGAGAATGGTGCTAGGTCCGACTGCACTTAGATCTGAGTGAGTGAGTGACTGGGGACTGTGTGTGTGTGTGTGTGTGTGTGTGTGTGTGTCAGACTGTACTCAGAAGATCATTCATTTTTAACAAGGTGCTTTGCAGATTCAAGTCAGGCACTCTTAGCTCAAGAAAAAAGGACTGTGTATGCAAAGCAATTAAAAAGACAGAATGGATTTGTGTGTGTTTTTCCCATATCCCACATAAGAGATGACATTCTTGAGATTCCTCTGGGACTGTCTGCTTCAGTCTCCTCTCCTCTAACTCCTGTCCTCCCTGCCCTGCTGTTACACACTTTCTGCCTCCTTCTTGACTCCTCCTTTATTCTCTCCCTCCACCACCCCCACATCCCTCTCCCCACCTCTGATTCCCTCTGCAATTACTGCAACACTTTGAGACAGGGGAAATGGGTTGCCTGGCAACAGGATGCAGCTGGACCAATAGCATCCCCCCAAATGAGTTGACTATAATATGTTTAAACAGAGGGAAAGAACAAGAGACAGAGAGGCTTAATGCTGATGGTGAGAGAAGAGAAAGGGGAAAGGACAAGCACAAAGATACAGGCAGAAAACAAAATAGATGACATGAACAAAGAGAAAAAAGTGGGTTCTGACTTCCTTGAGAGAATGGAGAAAAATAACCTTATGGCCGGTTATAAAAGAATTTTGTTCTAGATCCTAAATGCAGTTGCAAACAAACATAATATATCTGCGCAAATGTGACCCCATAAATCACACAATGCACTGACAAAAACAATGGCCACCTGTGTCTCAATCTCAAGAGATACCACCAATGACAGTCAAGGCGTTTGGGAGGACCTGACAAACACACACTGACACAGAGATGTAAGCAGTAATGAGCAGCACACACAACAAAAGAAGTAAGGAGAGAAACTGGCATTGAAAATAGGAGGGCAATGGATGACAAAACTCAAAGTTTGGATCATATCATGGTTTTTGAATCATAGATCGAATCATTTTTCTTATCAGCAAAAGAAAAAAAAAGACAATTTTAACTTGCCTTCCATTTAAGGAACACTTAAGCAAGAAATTTTAGCCAGTGATCTTAAATGAAAACAACATTCAAGATGTCCAATGTTTAAATAAAATATTCAATACTCAGTTGTTAAAGTACAATATGAAGCATGATTATACCTCCTTCCTTTGAACAAAGTGAATGACAAAAATAGCCTGTGTCCACATAATCAAAAAGTAGGTAGAAAGAAGAAGAAATAAAAAAGAGCTAAGCTTGTAACATATGAGGATGTGTGCATTGCCTGGGGAGAGGCCTCTTCGAAGTCAGGGACTTTGCTCATTGGTTTAGAGATAAAACTGGTACTTTCACAAATCAACTGCAGGCAAAGAGCTGAAGATGTCACATTTCTGAAAGTTTGTGCTCTGCTTCTTCAACAGCTGTTTGACAAACTGCTCATACACTCTCCGTTAGTGGCTGATTTTGTTGCATACACGATTAATGAGCACTGTGATTGCTGACTCGACATTCTCTGTTCAACTGTGTGTAGCAGCCCCAGTCTCGTGTAAAGAGTGACTGACACAGGGGAAAAAATGCAGTGGAAAATCAAAGTGTAATGGACAACATTAGCTGTTCAAATTCTGCTGGACTGTGACCAAACTCCAGGTTACAGCATGTGAAGTTCCTGTGGTGGAAAAACACTATTATGTCCCCTGAGAAAGCCATCTCAATAGGAAGTGAAGTGCCAGGCATTGTGAGGCAGCATGTTGCCAGATGTGAGGCAGTTACCCTCATTGCTTTTCTACCATGCCCCATTCATGCACACACACAAATGCTCTCGGAATCTTTTCTCTGCAACTCTGCATTGATGTTAGGTTGGAACTTTAATTCTATGTGGGCTCCACAACTCGTGGTCATATATCCTGGTCATATACCAAGAACAGATGAGGCATCCAAGACACTTATATACAATATAGTGTATGCATATTTTAAACATGAACTGTATGTGATGATCCATGTAGTCACAATGTCTGCATTGTAGCCTCTGTGTAAGGAGCTATACAATTTTAGAATCACCATGAAAGGTAAGTAGAAGAGGTTAAATCATGTGGATGCCAAGGATTTCTCCAGTCACTATAGCCACTCTTTACATTGCCCATGCAATGCAGGAATTTTACACAAGCTTTCCACCATCCTGCGTAAAAGGTACAGTCCTGGAATTAAGGGG